TTTTAATTAATGTACAATTATTTAATTAAACGTTTTTTTTTTTTTTCTGGACTGTTTACATATAAATGGTCAAGAAATGTATAGAACTAATGAACTGGTGTTAAGTGTCCTTTTTAGGATGATTTAAATATAAATAGTCAGGAAATTCAATTAACCAATAAATTAGTGGTTAAAACTGATTCTATTAAATATGGTTTGTTTTTTGAATTTCGCGCAAAGCTACACGAGGGCTATCTGCGCTAGCCGTCCCTAATTTAGCAGTGTAAGACTAGAGGGAAGGCAGCTAGTCATCACCGCCAACTCTTGGGCTACTCTTTTACCAACGAATAATGGGATTGACCGTCACATTATAACGCCCCCACGGGCGAAAGGGCGAGCATGTTTGGTGTGACGGGGATTCGAACCCGCAGATCGCGAGTCGAGTACCCTAACCACCTGGCCAGAAACAATTGTATGGTAGAATATATATATTTATATATATATATATATATGTATGATGCTTTGCATATTGTTACGCCTTCGTTCGTTAGTTAATTTTCCGTAAAAATTATTTCCGAAGAAACTCTAACGATACAAGTCCTTTCTTAAATAACACTGATTTATTCTTTTTGAATACAACTTTGCAATACACTTAATTTCAACAGTCGCTGTATAACCAACGCTATAACTCACAACGAACGTCTCACGTGCCCAACAATATTCTCTGTCCGCATACATTCAATTACTCATTACATTATTGCCGTCACGTTGTGACCGTCTTATATATAAAAGAATACCGAGATCTAGTAAACTCCCGATATTTGAGGAAGGGACGTGAACGTTCGAGAAGCTTGTGGCGTGATACTAGCGTCACGTGACCTCCGATGTCGTAACAATATATATGAAATTTTATAAACCCAAGTGTTGTATAACACAAAACAAATAAACTGCTGTGGACACTACCAATAGGCAATCTTTTAATGAGAATTTTATCAGTGTTATAAAGCTAATTGTAGTTGTGGCTTGTGAGGCCTTATGTCATTAAAGTGGGGGAGTATGTTTCAGTTTGACATCAAACATTCGGCAACTAATGCATTTTATAGAAAGAAATAAGAATAACAGACAGATTCACAAATGTTAGCCAGAAACATTTCATGTAGATGAACTGAAATATGAGTGAATGAGGTGAAATAATCTACAGAAAGTAAAATTCATAAAAATTATCAGGTGGGATAATAAATGTAAGCTTGGTGTTTTATTTAATTATGCAGAATTATTCTAGATCATGCAGTTTGAAATATTTCAAAATTAGAGTTTTCTGAATATTTTCTTACCATTATTCCAGTACAAGACCAGTTACAATGCATGAAAATGTAAACTCTGCATGTAGTGCTGAAGGACAGAAGTAACACCTTTAAGGTGTGGTTGCAATTATTCCCCTCTAAATAGAACTTGTAGTTGAAGAAAGTTATAATAGAGGAGATATATTGGCGCTAATGAAACTCGACAGTAAAAATATAAATTAGGTTAGCAATCAGGCACCATTCAATCTAGTTTGGTTAGTGCAGTCTCACAGGTGAGAATTAGGTCAGGTTCAAGACGAGATGATGTCTGCATTAACACAGCTGTCCCCAGGTAATAGGAACTGTGTTCTACAGGCATGTTTAACATGGAGCTTGACCACAGTTTGATTTTTTTTTTTAGTATTTTGGTAGCCAGGATGTTACAACTTTAACCTACACCAGTGTCAGAGTTTTTCCTGACAAATTGGAGTTGTTTTAACTCTGTATTTTAAATACTGTTTTTTTCCTATTTAAAATCAAATTGTTGTTCCTTCTGACACACTTTGTTTCCAAACTGCCAGTTGCAATCACGTATTTTCTGTGTTACTATTCAATCCAAATTTTTACATGATTTACAATACTCTGCAAAAGTGTTAGGACAAGAGAATATTTTGTCATTCTTTCTATTTTATGGGGCTAATTCTTCCATGCCATTACAGAATGTAAATTTCAACACAATGGTAATACTTCACTGAACTCTGTGAACCATTGCACGAACCAGGGTGAGAATACTTATCATTCGTTAGAATTCCCATATACTTGTACCAAGGGCATGTCATAAGGGTTCTGCTTGAATGAACATACTGATCAAATTTAGGTTCTGAAATAACTGTCATGGTACTCCATGCAGTGTCTTAACTATAT